AAAAAAAAAAAAAGAAAAGAAAAAAAGATAGTTTTCAGTTTTCGGTTGGTAATACAAGTTAGGATAGAAAGTGAAGTAGGTACAACACTTTGGACTCACAAAGATAGGATAGATGATGGAGTATTTTCTCTGAATTTGTCAAACGTTTATGAACTGGATATTGTTAATGTAACTCTTGAATGTATATTTGTATATACTTATTGTATATTGTTTTTCTTATATTAGTTATAACCTTCTTTTATTATTTTAGACAAAAAAGGGTAAATGTGGTGATATATTGTATACCCTAATAAAGCTGGCCTGAGGATCAGAGGACTGAGCCAGCCACTAGTTTAGACATAGAGGCCAGACAGTGGTGGCACACACCCTTAATCCTGTCATTCAGAATGCATATCTGTCTGGATTTCTGTGAGTTCAAGGCCACACTGGAAACAGAGGCAGGCAGTGGTGGCACATACCTTTAATTCCACTACTGAGAAGTACACACGCCTTTAACCCCAGCAAGTGATGGCAGGGTAGAGAAGGTATGTAAGGTGTGAGGAAACAGGAACTAATGCAGTTCAGCTGAGACCCTTTTGGGTCAGGACTCAGAGGCTTTCAGTCTGAGGAAACAGGTTTGACTGAGTTTATGAGGCGAGGTTGGCTGTGACTTGCTCTGCTTCTCTGATCTTTCAGCTTTCACTCTGATATCTGGTAACAGCTTTTTTATTAAAAGACCATCTAAGATTCAAGTAATATTGTGCCATTATATATTGGAAGTATGTGATCTGCTTTTTGATTTTGATTTTACAGGGGATTACAGTTAAGAGATCACATGAATCTCAGAAGAGACTTTGAACTTTAGACTTTTAAGTAAGTTTGAGACTGTTATATGAGACTATGGGGATTTCTAAAGTTGGACTGAATGCATTTTTGCATTTTTAATATGGCTACAAGTCTTTGGGAACCAAGGAGTGGAATGTGGTGGTTTGAAAGAAAATAGCCCCCAAAGGAGTAGCACTATTAGAAGGTGTGGCCTTGTTGGAGCAAGTGTAGTCTTGTTGGAGGAAGTGTGTCACTGTGGAGGTGGGCTTTGAGGTCTCAAACATGCATGCTACTATGTCCCATTATAATGACATGAACTAAACCTTTGAATATGTAAACCACCCAATTAAATGTTTTCCTTTATAAGAGTTCCATAAGTGTCTTTTCATAGCAGTAGAAACCCTAGCTAAGAGATGGGGTATGTAGAAATGTGAAAAATATGCCTGAGCTGCATGCTGCAAATTCATGGACTCTGTGTACTTTGCTCTGTGTGTGGATATATCCCAGTACACTGCACCCTAATGTGGAGAACTTGTATATGGTTTAACACAGAGGCAGAACTGTTGAGTGTTCTAGCATTACCCAGTTTTACTAAGTCCTTCTTTCCCATGAGTTTGTTTGATTGTTGCCTGTGAGGGTGTTTCATGCAGACTTCTAGACGTTTTCAGGGCCTCTGCTTGTACAGCAGGTAAGTAACTAAGGTGCCCCTGAAAGTACTGCTATATCCCTGCCCCAGCTGAACAAGAGAACAAGAGGATGGCTTCACTTTGAGATGTTAAGAAAAGTCATCTAGTATTTGAAAAAGAGTGAAAGGAAAAAGTGAAAGGTGCTATGGGAGCAGCATGCAGCAGGCTTCCTCACAAGCTACCTGGTTCCCCAGGGAAACTCCTGTGTCTTTGTTAGCTATATGTGCATGTTCATGCATGCATTCGTGTGTGTGTGTGTGTGTGTGTGTGTGTGTGTGTGTGTGTGTGTGCAGTTTGTTTGACTCTATTTTTTTGAGGTGGAGTCTCATTTTGCAGCCAAAGCTAGCCTCAAACTCACTGCAATCCTTCTGCCTCAAGCTCCCAGATGCTGGGATTACAGGTCTGAGCAATCATATCTAGCTAATATGTTAACTACTTGTGGTAAGTGATCCCTGAGTCTACCCTCAGATTCCATGACTTATTACAGTAAGGCACAGAACTCAGGAAAATAGTCATACTCATGGCTACGGCTAATGACAATGCAAGGTTATAATTAGCCGAAGTACAAGAAACACCGGCCAGAGTCTGTGGAAAATCAGGCACCATTTTCTATTGTTTTCTTCCAGTGGAATTGCATATATATATAGTTTAATTGCCCCAAGCAATTATGTATGACAATTTTCTGCAGTACTGCCAACCAGGGAAATCCACCTGATCTTTGAGGTCCAGAGTTCTTGGTCTGATCAGCCACTTAGGCATCAAGACTTGGTATGGCTAAGCCTGATCAGTCTCCAGACTCTGTGGGACAAAGTAAGACCATGTAGTTGAAAGTTCCCACATTATCATTTACTACCATAAACCATCCAATGCCACCCATGGCTCAGATATAACAACATACTTCTCAAGAATGGTATTCCAGTATCCTCTTCCTTGAGTGGTTAAAGGACAGATTTGGGATGTGTGGACTGTGAACATCCCAGACCTCCAGAGTCCGTCACCCAAGAGAATGCTTTGCAGTTTCGTGAGGGCAGTGGCCTCTAGCTGAAGAGCTAGTGGTGATGAACATGACAGTCATTCAGCAACAGTGCTGAAGGATCTCCATGCAGGGGTAAATGATTACATACGGCAGGAAAAGTCAACTCGAGTTTCACGGTTTTATAGGCCTTGAGAACATGGACCTACCTCCGCCACTTCTCCTTTCTTCCCACTCCTTCCTTTTTCCCTTAAGCATTGAACCTAGGGTTTCTCACGTGCTAGTCAAGCACTCAGTGATATCCCAGATCTCCTTTTACTTTCAATTTTAAGACAAAAATCGCACTAAGTTGCAGGCTGGCTTTGAGCTTGTGTTCCTCCTGCCTCGGGCTACCCAACAGCTGAGACTATATGCCTGTGTGTGCCATTAGGCCTGGCTTCATGGTAGTTCTCTCATCACCTTAACCGACTCTGTCACTGATGATCTATTGAAATCATTGATATGTTTTCACTTTGTATTCATATGAGAATGATACTTCTACATTTTTAAAAAGTTTGCTTTGATTGTTTGGCTGTATTGTTTGGTGCGGGGACTCTGACATGATGGAAGCAGTCTGACCCCATCTTAATTAATCATAGATATCATGACCATTTTCAAATAATATCATGTTCTGAGTCACTGGAGTTCGAGATTTCAACATTAACTTTGGGTGGGGCAGGAAGAGACATATTTTATACCATAATAGAAGTAGGAGAAGAATTGACATACAGAGGTTCATGTCAGGTGATTATTCTTTCCAGACTTCCCTATTTTCTATCTCCAACTCTTTTTCCTCCATCTTTTCTATAATTAAGACAGAAGTTACCCTCTTTTGATTCAGGAATAAGTTCCTTGACAAATGGTGAGGACTCCTTTTAAAGTATCTACCTCTTAGAAATGGTTTGACAGATGTTAAGTCTAGCCCTGCCCCCACATGACATGCCCCCATGAAGAAACCAAAAGGGCTCTGACAACAGGGATGGACTCAGATCTCTTATTCTGTACCCTTCTTCTCTTCTCAAAGCTAAAAGCACAGCAAGAACTCGACCTCAGGCCCTTTCAATTTACTTTGATGAAGATGCTTCTTCCAACCTTAGGAACAAAACAGAGATCATGTAGTAGAGCAAATCGTCATACTTTATTAATCTTGTAAATAAAATATTTTTCAGAGAACAGCATTGTTAACATTAATAATGGGAAAAATAATTCATGTAATCACATTTTTAACTCATAATTTCTCAAAAATGTCTCTTTGGGTCATTCAATTTTATCTATCAATACTGGAAATATATGATTTTTGAAGAATTCTCTCACCCTTTGAAAGTGATCTAATACAAACAAATATACTTTATTTTTCTAGTTAAATTAAAGCTAGATACAATTGTAATCATTTAATTTACTTCTTAAAAGTTTATATATAATAAAATTATCCATGTTCTTTTAGAACTTGTAACTTCATCAAAATATATTCTTAAGCCTTTCTAAAAGCAGTTTTTAAAGACCTTATCTTCTAGTATTTCTCAAATCCTCCTTTAAAAATTCATTCATTTAAAATCACCATCTTTAGACCATTTTGAGTTTAAAAAGCTTGCTTTGTATATGTTGGTTTTTCTAGCCACTTTACATGATAGTTTTCTTGATGAATGTGAGCAAGAATGATTATAACAGAGTACAAGTACTGCTTACCAATCATGTGGAAGCTCAGGCCCTTAAAAATGTAATAGAGATCATGGGTTCAGAATTTAAGTCTGGTATCAGATGCACAGCAAGAATGTGGGCAGTCTGGATTACATGAAACCCAGTCTCAACTCCCCACCACCCTGAATAACAAAAAATTTAAGAAAGAATCAATACTTTTCATCTTTCAAGCACAGTAAATGCCGAATGGGCACACTGGATGGAAACAAATAATAGAAGAATCATTATGGTTTTGCTAATAGGCCCCACCCCACCCTCACTGGGGTCTCCAGCATGCCAGGCAAGCACTCCAACATGACCCTACAACCCTTGGACAACCTACTGTATATTTTTCTTTAAGACTTTTCTAGACTTCTAGTTATCTCTGTACTCAAGGTGTGTTAATAATGGCATGTAAATTTCTGTCTTAGCTGTGTCTGTCTTGCAACCAATGGCCCAAACCTTTAGGAGGTCAAAGTCATGGTCAACATCTGGAAGCATGCCAGCTATAAACTTCTTTCCTGTCCTGCCAAAGGCTAAATAATGCAGACTTCCTATAATAGTTTCATATTCATGAGTTAGAATTTGCTTTTATATGCCACTTTTGAAGTAAAGTTTAATGTTTTCCATCAACAACCTATAAGACATCCATCTAAAAATACCAGCAAAGCACTTTCAAAGAACTTTTTAGATAGATTAAATCTTTTTTTTTTTCTTCATCAGAGCTAAGTTGAGTTCATACTATACAAAAATTAAGCATGGTGTGTTTTATTCAACTTCTTCTGAGGATCGTAAGATCTCATATACTTGGAGAGGATTACCCAGCTCAAGCTCCTGAATGAGAGGAAAAAACTCTTTTGAAGAACTGTCGATGTTCAGTATTCATCATAAAATGGGTATTCAGGATGGTTACTCCACCTGCCAAGACAATCCCCCAAGAGGAAGACAGTTTACTCTAATGGTGGCACAACTGTGTTAACCAACATCTTTTGATACGGTCATTCTCTTGCCCCTTTTGTTTCTACTCATTTACCCTTTGTTTCTCCTGTATTTCCTTCTCGTCTCCCCTTAAGTCAGCACCTTTCCATGATGTGAGCATGCACATAGTAGGCAAGGAAAGGTTGGCTGCAGCTACAACCAACCACAAATGACAAAGGTCAGAATGTCTATAATAGTCATGAATGTCTATAATAGTACATGTATTTCTGTCATGGAACATAGCCAAGATTTAGGTCTCTGCAACTACCACAAAAATATAAAACAAACAGGGCTCTCTAATGTCAGAGGTCAACAAAAGAGCATTAGAGAAAAGTCATGGCCCAAGATCTCTCAAAGACACAGTTTTTTTAAAATTAATAATCTTTGTATCACTTTGTTGATTTTCTAATTGTTTTCTGTAAGAATGAGTCATATTCCCCCTAGTATTGTTAAAATTTGTATTAAATATTTCAAATGTAAATCAAACAATGTTGTTAGTAAAAGAAAATCAATAGAATGGTAGATTCAGCCCATATTATTATTCCTTCTTAACTTAATGATATTTTTAAGTAGAAATAACATACCTCCAAGAGCTATTGATTAACTTAAAGCTTAGTTTCCAGTAAGTTGTTATGTGTATTTGTGTTTCTCATGTATTTTGAGGCTGGGTGGTATCTTTACATGCCAAGCAATTGTCTCCCTTGAAAATTCACATCAAGGAGCTGTTTTATTATAGTAATCCAGAAAATCAATACCAGTCTATCCAGAATGCTTTCTAACTCATGAAGAGTAGTGAGATCAATTGTGTTCCAACTCTATGATGCATTATCTTAATGGGTGATGTCTAACTCCTTACTTAAAGAGAAGACCAAATGAAGAAAGTAACTGCCAACATGGCTTGAGAAACCAGAAATGATGAACAAAAAAATGTGTGCATATAAATACACATCGGACTACCTGTGTATAAGCCACATCAGTTCTAGTTAAAAAGACCTGCAATGTTTAGGTAATAGAGGGCTACTTTGGTGTCTTGGCTGAGCTTGACAACATCTTTACATGGTGTGAAAAGGTCTTATAGAAAAGGTAGATGATAGGCAGAGCTGAGATCTCTAAATCATTTTTAAAATATTTATTTTATTATATTTTATGTGTATGGGTGTTTTGGCTTCATGTATGTAGATGCTGGGAATTGAACCCAGGTCTTTTGGAAGAGCAGCCAGTATTCTTTGCCACGGAGCCATCTCTCCAGTCCTATTTATTTATGTATTTATTTTTGAAGACAGGGTCTTCAGTATGTAGCCCTGGCTGGCCTGGAACTCACTAGGTAGACCTAGCTACCCTTGAACTCACAGAGATACCTTCTGAGGGCTGGGATTTAAAGTATGTACCACCACACCCAGTTTATTTATTTAGTTTTATTTATGTGTATGCGTGGGTATTAATTTATGTGCACCATGTGCATGTAGGTACATTTTCAGGCCGGAAGAGGGCTTTGGATCCCTTGGAACTGGAGTTATTGGTGATTGTGTGAGGCCTGATATGGGTACTGGGAACTGAACCCAGGTCCTCAAAAGAGCAGCAAGTGCTCGTAATTACGAAGTCATCTTTCCAACTCCAAAACCCTAAATCTTACAAGCAAGAAAGTATTTGACTAAAACTCTAGGTTTTGTTTCACAACCTGATATTCCTTCTGTACTACACAAGCAGGTCTCTCCCAGAATTTTTTTAAAAAATAAATCTGCTCCAATTTGGATATTGCTTTGATTTTTAGTTAGAAGTAAATAACGTTACTTCAGAATTTGTACTGTTGTTGTAGCAGGTGAAGTGTGAAGGGTTAATTCTCCTTGTCTCCATGTCATGCCTTTACCTAGGTATGTCTACTATTCAGAACACACGGCTGATACCTCATTCTGGTGTTTCTATGGGCATAGGTGAGGTTGCACAGGAGCCTCATTGGTTAACATGGGACAAGCACTACCTGATTCATGATCCTAGGACACTTACATGAGCAACTCCACAAAGCGGATATTTTTATTCAAGGCGGCAATGTCCTTCATTTCTTCTTCAGTGAGAGAAAAGTCAAAGATCTGAAATAATAGACATAGAAGATAGGTCATTTGTGAAGGTGGGTCAAGCTTGGAACTAGGGAGTGGAGACATCAAGGGAGAATCTCAGGTTGGGCTTTCTGTAAGAGAGCCAGCATCTCCCCAAGTGTCTGGGAGAGCTGGGCTCCTGTATGTGTGCATTTGTGGTGCAGGAGAGAGGAGGTTGGGGGACAGGTTGACTTTCTGCTCTGACCTTTGTCTTGGAAGCCGTTCTACTTGGGGACCACTCTGACTTACTGCGCAGTACGCATTTAAAGCATCTAATATTCTACATGTGAAGAATTCTTATTCTTTTCACATAAAATATTGGATGTTTTTTATTCTAGACTATTGCCATCTCACACACTGAAAAAAAATTTCCTAGTCTTTAAATTTGCTTATTCTTTTAATACTATTTCTACTACTGCTCCTGCTCCTGATCCTACTATGATGTTTTGAGGCAGGGTCTTGTTTTGCAATTCAAGCTGGGACTTGCTAGGTCTCTCGGGCCAGCCTCAACCTCATGATCCTCTTGCTTCAGCCTCCTGAGTGTTGGGATCACAGGTGTGCTCCATTCTTTCAGCTTCTTTCATCATCTTAAATATTTATTTTCAGTTTTGTTACCATTTCTTTTCTGTTTCTCACATTTATTTATTCAGTCTGTGTATATATGTACGTCGGTACACATGTGTCATGGCTCACAAGTGAAGGTCAGAAGATAACTTGCAGGAATTGGTTCTCTCTATCATGTGGCCTCTGGGGATTGGACTTAGGTTGTCAGTTCTTATTTATTTATTTATTTATTTATTTGTTTGTTTGTTTGTTTGTTTGTTTGTTTAGATAGGGTTACTCCATGAAGCCCTGGCTGTCCTGGAACTTGCTTTGTAGAGCAGACTGGCCTTGAACTTAGAGATTCACTTGCCTTATTTTTTTTTTCAGTTTTTTTTAGACAGGGTTTCTCTGTGTAACCACCCTGGCTGTCCTGTAACTCACTCTGTAGACCAGGCTGGCCTCAAACTCAGAGATCTACCTGCCTCTGTCTCCAAGTGCTGAGACTAAAGATGTGCACCACTACTGCTTGGCATTTTTTTCTAGATTATATACTTTGTTTATATTCTCATTTTATAATTATTCTGTATTAGCATTTAATATTTTATTTTCACTTCTATTTTAATATTTAATCTGTTTATAATTTTTAATTATGTAAGTAGTATGTAAATCTATGCTCTTTGCATATGCATAGATACTATGGAATTATAGACATGTATGGGATGAAAAGGAGGAGGTTCCTCTTCATTCACCATCCTACTTTATGTCTCTTTCCAGGTACTAAACATGGTAGAATAAAATGCAGCATATAAATGTAGCAAACTATCTTCCTTATATATTAGTGGTCCTTGTGATATGTTCTGTGAAAATATATATTCATTTACTTTTCCTAGAATATATTAAATACACTTACTTAATTGCTCCTCCACAGATCATTTACAATTACTCTTTTCAGAGAATTCTTTTCTTTGGTTATTTATTACCCAGATATTGAAGTTCATAAAATAATAGAAGGAATGAAAAAATTGAGTTGCAGGGGGCTGGAGAGATGGTTCAGTGGTTTAGAGCACTTGTTGCTCTTGCAGAGGACCCAGGTTCTATTCCCAGTACCCACATGGTGGCTTACAACCATCTATACCTCCAATTCTAGGGGATATGACAGCCTCTTCTGGCCTCTGCAGGTGCCAGGCATGTACATAGTGCACATACATGTATACACACAGGCAAAACACTGATACATATAAAGCAGAATAACAAAATCTAAAAAAAAAATTAAATTTTTTAAATTTAAACTATTAGTCCAAAAAGAGTCCTTCCACAGATTTACTCTTTGCTCACAGCAGGCCAGTCTGTACTCCGTGGCTTTACCGTGGTTCCTAGTGACAAAGTGAAGCAGGCTTTGTAAGGATACAGATTTCATGAAGTCAATAATGAGAGGAGGTTTGAAGATTTATTTTAATTATAGGCACAATATTTCCTAAATAAGCTCAAATTCTACAATGGCAGGTATATATATTGAAGAAAAGAACAGCCAAGATTAAAATTCCCCTCCAGATGAAAACTGTTCTCTTTAGGATCATTCTATAAAAGTGTATGAAATACAGAATTCTGTGTTGTATGTCACATAAATTTGTCAAATGTCTTTTAAAAAGCCAGCACTGGTTCTGTTTCTTCTAGGATTCAGTGCACTAGGCAACCAGAACCTACATTTTGCTGTGACTCAAATAAGTTCATGTATTTTTATAAATTCTGCTTTTTAACTTCAAGATAAACTTTCAAATTCTCCCTTTCTATGTTGTTTCTAATCATTTTCCTTGTTCAAAGTGGCCTTTTTTTTATTTCATGGCACAAATTATCTTATGTGAATGGAGATTTCATACTATGAAATTAAATCCTTAACTGCCAGGTAATCAATCATGTCTGTAATCTGAGGATTTCTAAGGTGGAGGTAGAGTTCAAAGGATCAAGAGTTCAAACCCATCCTCAGCTACACAGATGGTTTGAGGCCAGCATGGACTACATGTGACCCTATCACGAAACCCAAACCTACAAACCAAACTCTAGCTATTGTTCTCAAGACCTACATGTCATTGAGTTTCCCATCAGAATAAATGTTTCAAGAAAGAGAGAGTGTCAACTTTATGAAATGTGTTTGAAATCTTTGACCTCACAAGGACTGAGAATGAAGTACTGGAGTTACTCATGCAGAAGTCCTCGGTGAGGACATAGTCTGCCAGGGTGAAATCTCAGTTTTAATGGGTCTAAGAAAATAGGGGAAGTGAGCTGAGAGCCGATTTCCCTTTCAAGAGGTTAGCTGTAAACAGAAAGAGAGCAGTGGAAATGGCCAGAGAAACTGAGTCTACATTGGCTGTAAGTTTATAAGTTTGGAAGTCCATCTATTGTGGGAGTTACACAGACAGAGAAGTGTTTGATGCTCAGGACACAGAAGGGGAGTATGAGAGACTGATGACATGGAGGAGCTACTGGATGTAGGTCATCACACTTTCCAAGAACATTCTCTAGGAGCGACAGCGGACACCACCACCCTTCCACATTTCCAAAGGTAATTCTCTTACCTGAAAGTTTTCTTGGATCCTTTTGTGATTAAAGCTTTTAGGGATGACAACCATCCCTCGCTGGATGTTGAAACGCAGTGCAATTTGAGCTGCTGTCTTGTTATACTTCTTCCCCAATGAGATTAAAAGTTCATCCTTTAACAAGGATGGAGAAGACACATTCACCCTTGGAAAAAAAGAAAATATATGTCATCTTCAAATGAGAGGCTAGAGTTCATCAGTCACCCTACTATTGTCCCCATTCATTTGGTCCCTGCTGGGACATTCAAGTTACCTATAGTTAATTTCTCTGGTGTAAGGAATTATGGAATGAAGAGTTGCCTTTAGCATGAGAAGATCAAGAAAGGTAGGTGGGTGGGCTGATACAGAGGACAAATACATACACATATATAATACACACACACACACACACCAAGCTTGCTCTCTTTGTGTGTGTGAATGTGGGGTGAAGAATCTAACAGAGAGCTTTGTCTGAAGCAGACATATAGGGAAAGGCAAAAAGACTAAGTAGAAGAAAGTAGCTCAACTCTTGCTATCAGGGTAGACATTTTCCTAAAGCTCCTTGGAGTTCATCAAAGGTATTGCCACTGTGGACTGAACTGGACTGAATTCAACAACTCCAAAGCTTTCAGAACACAGTCACAGAAACCCTGTCTAACAATACTTCAACATTTACTGAGTTTCTTACATATCAGGTGGCAACAGGAAATGTCATACATTCAGTGAAATCACCAGGTAATGGCTCCGTGAGGAAGGTATGGTGAGCTTTCATCTGTTTCTGGAGATCTTGACTTGAAAAAGCCATTTCTAGAAGATCCCACAGCCAGAGTCCCTCTGTTTAGCCAATTCCCTCTTGTTTTGTGCCCTGTCCACATGGAAGGAGATACTTCTTGAAGAGAATACAGCATTGCTTACCAGCTTGGGTTCCGACAGGTCCCCAAAGGACTATATGCAACAATAACAATGTCGTGCTGCTGGCAAAACTTCCAGAGTTTCTCTTGGGTAAAATATGGGTGGCACTCCACCTGTGTTGTTCCATGGGAGAGCAGGGAACAAAATTAAGGCCCATAATCAAATGCAGTTCTACATAGCTTTTCAAAAATTATTTAGGGGCTGGTGACATGGCTCAGTGGGCAAAGGCCCTTGTCCCCAAGTCTTGTGACCTGAGTTCAGTCCCTTAGATCCACATGGTGGAAGGAGAGAACCAACTCCTGCACATTGTCCTCTGACCTCCACATACATTGTGTGGCACATATACACACACTAGTAAGAAATGCAATGGAAAAAACTTAAACCCACAAATAAGATTGCTATCCAGAAAGGCTGAACCAATGTGTACTTACTGATACTCTCTATCCCTTGCTTAGAGGAACATTATAAAAAATACATGAAACAAAATTTTGATAGTTTTTTTAAAAGATTTGTGTTAGTCCCGCCTATACTTCTTGTCTGGCTATTGGCCAATCAGTGTTTTATTTATATAGAGTGATATCCACAGCACTTCCCCTTTTCTTCTTTTTCAAAAAAGAAGGTTTTAACACAGTAAAATTACATATAACAAAACAATTGTCAAGCAAGAATTGCAGTTATTAAATATTAAAGAAGATACCCTATCTATCTTATACTTGTGAGTCTAAGGCTTTATAGCTAACCCATCTTTTATCATAACTGAGGAAATTATAACTATCTAGTCTTTAACCACATCAAAGACCTCAGAAGGATATAATACTACCTGAGAAATGGGAGAAGGATGTAAGCAACTTTCGAGAGTCTTGCAGGGTAGACAGAGACAGCTGTCAGCCTAGTTCAGTTGGTAGAGCATGAGACTCTTAATCTCAGGGTCATGGGTTCGTGCCCCACATTGGGCACCATTTGTAGCTGGAGAATTTCTCTCCAGCTCCTGCCAAGTCCCACCAGTCCCAGAGCCCACTTGTAAAATAAACACACAGACTATTACATTATTTAAACTGCTTGGCCATTAGCTCAGGCCTATCATTGTCTAGCTCTTACTCTTACATTTAGCCCATTTCTATTAATCTATACTTTGCCACGTGGCTCATGGCTTATTGGTACCTTACATCTTCCTTGTCCTGGCAGAGGCTCCAGCAGTCTCTCCCTTCCCTTCCTGTTTCCTCAATTCTCCTCTCTGTTAGTACCACCTATACTTCCTGTCTGGCTACTGGCCAATCAGTGTTTTATTTATATAGAGCGATGTCCACAGCAGATTTGTTTTATGTGTATGAGTATTTTGCCTGAATGTATGTGCCTCAGGTTTGCAGTACCCATAGAGGCCAGAAGACAGTGTTGGACTCTCTGGAATTGAATTTACAAATGGTTGTGAGCCACCATGTGGGTGCTGGGAACCAAACCTTGGTCCTCTGCAAGAGCAATAAGTACTCATAACCACTGAGTCATTACTCCAGTACCAAGTCTGACATACATGTGTTTACATGTAAGAGAGCATCACATTTAAATCAAGCTTTCTCTAACAGTGAGTTGAACATTTCCCCCATGTCTTGGGAATAGTTTTCTGTGAATTCCCATCTATTTATTTTGCTAATTTTCTGTAGAATCTTTGAACTTTTTCCCCCATCAAGTACTTTAGTTCATCTTTATTTGTCTTTTAATTCATAAACATATGGATTCTTTTATTTCACTTAAAATGCATCATTGTCTATTTCTGTTTGCATTTTGTTTCTAGCGGTTTTCCCCTTGGTTTTAGGGACTTTGCCCAGGGCCTTGTGCATGCTAGATGAACATGTTACCTCTCAGCTACACTGATCCAACTTTTCCTTATGATTTTTCATAGCTTCTTTTTCTATCCATTGTTCCAGAAAACTAAATTCTTCCATTGTCTTTACAAATGATTTCTGTCTTCTAACCTTGGAGCGTGCTGTGAGGCAAAGCCCACTTGTTTCTAGATAGCCAGCCATTTTTCTCCGACTATTGGAAGAGTCTTGCCTCTGCCATTAGCTTGTGCAGCTTAATTTTAGAGTAAGTTTTTTTTATTATATTATATATATTATATATTATATTATATTATATTATATATTATTAGCCAGCCTCTAAGTATTTGTTTTCTTCTATTAGTTTGCGTCTTGGTTCACATGCCATCCTACCTATGTTACTTCGTTTTTGAGAGAGGGTATTGTTATTTGTTGGTCTCGAACTCCTGGCCTGAACAGATCTTCCTACCTCAGCTTCCCGAGCTGTGCATTATTTTAAATGTTCTATATTATGCCTTGATTTGGAAAATCTCATTTCCTTTCCATTACTTTTCTTCAAAAAACCTCTTTGTTTACATCTGCCTGGATTTGAGTTTTCAAAATGGCTTAAACTTTTTTTGTTTTGTTTCTTTGAGACAGGCTTTTGCTCTGTCGCCCAGGCTGGTCTCAAACTCCCCTACATCAACCTCCCCAGGTGTGCTCACCACGCCTGACTGGCTTTTTTTGAGACAAGGTCTTACTCTGTCACGTCAAGACTGGCCTTGAACCGCTGTGCAGCTTGGACTGGCGCCTAACCCGTTGCGTAACCCAGGCTGGCCTTATAGTCACGATCCTCCTGCCTTAGCCCCCAAATGTAGGGCCTTTTTCTCAAAAGATATCAATTGAAAGAAGTGAAATGATTGACCTAGAGTCTTAGACTGTGATTTCTGTGGAGCACCCGGAAGACTTCCTACTGCAAAGTCCAGGAACCTTGTTATCACTTAAAAATTTCCCTGGGCACCTCTCCTCACTCAGTGAAAGTCCCTCTGTTGTACCTGGTTGGTGACTGGCTTGTACTTGAGTCCTGGCTTGTTCAAGATGAGCTCCAGCTGCCTGCGGTTAAAATTGGATACCCCGAGGGATTTCGCCAAGCCAGCATCTTTGCAAGCTTCCAGTGCCTGCAGGGCAAGTGCCAACAGTCAACAAAGAGGCTCTCATGAAGCAAGGATGGATGTGTACAGTGCACACCTACCACCCCCAAAGAGACACGTGATATAAAAACCCAAACAAAAGAAAAATGCATTTTGACAAATTCTAATACATGCACATGCTAGCAAAATAATTCACCCTATGCATTTTTAAACACCTTCAGTAGAGGGCTGAAAAATGTCTAACATCCAGCTCTCCAGGACAGGGAAAACAACAGCAACCCAGTTTGTGGCATTTGTCAATTCCTATGGTGTCACTTCGTCACCAGGCTGTACTCAAGCTAGCTGAGTGACATTCCTGACCACAGGACTCGAAAGAGTCAGATTTTGCAAGCTGGCATGAGCTAGTTTGAGCACACCATTAAGAAGATCATCTCTCCCCCATCAACACGTCAGGCCCTCCTCCTGCAATCTTGACGTCATATTTTATGGATCAGCTTCAGCATTCCCTAATCTGGTCCACTGACAGGGGTGTTGTGTTAGGGCATCACCATACAATTTCTGTAACTACATAACAATTCTAAGTTTATTTTTTGATGGGGCTGGAGAGATGGCTCCTAGGAGACCCATAGTCATTGCCCAGCATCCATGTCACACAGATCACAGCTGCTTGTCACTCCAGCCCTCTTCTGGCTTCTGCAGGCATGGCATATACTCATGCAGGAACAAAGAAAAATCACTGAAAAAGTATTCTTTGAAAATAAATGTATATATCTTCCTCATCATATCTCCTCCTGTTCTTTTTTTCTAAGTTCTTTGAGGCATTACAGATATTTGTATTTTCATATAAATTTTAACAGTATACTTTTTTATTTCAGTGAGTGTTTTTTACTAGGATTGTATTGAATCTTTAGATGAGTTTGGGGAGAATTAACATCATAACATATTGAATATTAAGAGACGTGGTATATTTCTCCACTCATTTAGATCTTTGATTTCTTTTAGTTATACACTATAGTTTTTAATGTTGAAGGCTTATGCATGTTTTATCAAATTTCTATCTAAATATTTAATATTGCCTTTTCAAAGGTTCAATTTCTAATTGTGTGAGGCTAGCATATGGATTGCATATAGTTGGTTTTATTTCCTTTTTTGTCTTATGAATTATTTATATGTGTTTCTCTGTTCCTAAATATTTGATGTTTTCTCAGACATCTTTGTTCTTGCTTTCAGATTTCATTTCAGCTTAATAAGACCACACAGTTTGCACATTTAGAATACTTAAAAACACTGAACTGTTTTGCAGATGAGAAAACACCATTATGTCACAGTTTCCACCGGGACTAGAGAAGTAGTGTTCTGTTTTGTGGGGTTTTTATGTTTGTTTGCTTGCTTTTGTTGTTTGTTTTAAGAACTTATTTGTACCAGGCTTTTTTGGAAGGGGGCACTAGCAAGCTCCCAAATCATGACACAGAGACTACTTGTTAGCTATAAATGCTCGGCCTTGCTTAGGCTTGTTTCTGGTTAGCTCTTTTAACTTAAATTAACCTGATTCTCTTTATCTGCCCTTTGCTTCAGGGCATTTTACTTTTCTTTCTGTCTGTATACCATACTCTCACTGCTTCTTGTGTCTGCCAGCTGGAGGCTGCCTGGCTGGCCCCAGGTGCCTCCTTTGTTCTCTCCCCTCTTCTTCTTCTCTCATTCTTTTTTAGCCTAGATTTCTCCTCCTATTTATTCTCTCTCTCTCTGCCAGCCTGCCTATCCTTTTTCCTGCCTAGCTATTGGCCATTCAGCTTTTTATTAGACCAATCAGGTGCCTTAGGCAGGCAAGGTGAAACAAATACTATGCATCTTTTTATAATTAAACAAATGCAGCATAAACACATGTAACACATCTTTACACAGTAAAAGTAATAATTCTGAAGCATAAGCAATGTAACATATCTTTGCCGAGTTAAAATAATATTTCACATTACTTATTCATTTCTATTTACGAGTATCGGTGTTTTGCCTGCACACATGTCTGAGCATTGCATGTGTGCAGTGTCCACAGAGGCCAAAAGAATGCATCAGACCTTCTAGAACTGGAGTTATAGACAGTTGTGAGGTGCCATATGGGTGCTGTGAACCAAACCTGGGTCCTCAGCAAGAGGAACAAGTGCTCTCCATCACTGAGCCATTTCTCCAGGCCCTCTGCTGTATTTTGGTGTAGTGCTCTGTAGGTGCAAATTATGTCAAGAGGGTCACTGTGCATGAATCTCAGAAATCCTACAGATTTTATGTATGGTTATTATCTTAATCAGTAAGAGGCTTTGAAATCTTTAATCATAAACATGGACTGCTCACTTTCTCTTTTCTGTTGTTTTAGTGTAGGCTTCATACCTAAACTTATTTTTAGAAGTTGAAATAGCCACCCAAATTTCTTTAGATTAAAGCTGATTTCATACATTTTTTCCTATAGTTTTTTTTTTCTATTGACATGCTTTTTATTTAAAATTGTGTTACACACACACACACACACACACACACACACACACACTTTGTAATGGGACTTGAATTTTTGCATTTTGGCAAACTCTACCTTTACAATGAAGTGCTTACACTACCCATATTCTATGATTATTGACATCCCTAAGATTTCCAGATGGGTATTCATTTTCTTTTTCATATGTTTATTTCCTTTCTTTTTTGTTTTTGTTTTTTGAGACAGGGTTTCTCTGTGTAGCTTTGCGCCTTTCCTGGATCTTGCTCTGTAGACCAGGCTGGCCTCAAACTCACAGAGATCCACCTGGCTCTGCCTTCCGAGTGCCAGGATTAAAGACATGCGCCACCACCGCCCAGCCTTATTTCCTTTCTTTTCCTGTATTCTTTTCAATTGATTACTTTTTATTATTCTAGTTTATTCCCTTTATTGATGTATTTACTATATTCTGGGAGATTTAATCTTTTTTTTTCCCACCAAAGTATTTCTTCTTGATATTCTGAAATCTCATTATAAACATTGTGGGAATGTGAAAGAAATGCATTGCATTTTCTATTCAATGGTTAAATAAGACAAAGGAAACACCATGTTTAAAGACAACTGTAAAAATACCATTTAGCAAAAAATCTCTTCCCAGGTCAGCATTTTCCTGAAATCAAAATATATGTTCAAGGTTACATTCTGTGTAAGGTTCCATTCTGCTTATCAATTGCTCACTAACTTTTAAGTCATCCAATTGCATAAAAATGTGAGGCTGGGCCGGGTGGTGGTGGTGCATGTCTTTAATCCCGGCGCTCAGGAGGCAGAGCCAGGTGGATCTCTGTGAGTTCGAGGCCAGCCTGGGCTACAGAGTGAGTTCCAGGAAAGAAGCAAAGCTACACAGAGAACCCTGTCTCAGGAAAAAAAATGTGAGGCTGGGTCTGACCTTGTCCATTGGAAGAGGTTCAGGACCCTTTGAGTTGAGGCTAAAGCTGGTATGATTGCTTACTTGGTTTAGCACCAACATACCCCTCTGCAGAAGGAACAATTTTTGCATTGCTGAAATATCTCAGATTATGTGGTCATTTTCTTGAGACCCCAGACCCATCCCCAGCACCATACCATGCAGGCATGGGCTTCCTTCTTCTTCTTTTGTACACTATGACCTGCTCAGTGTCTTTCTCTCTTCAAATATTGCCATTTTATCCACTTCCTCTTAGCTGGGAATTTTAACTTTAGTCTTTCTATTGCTTCACATTCCCTTTCATATTGAAGTGTTTGTTTGTTTGTTTGTTGTTGTTTTTCCCCCTCTTTTTTATACTAGGGGATTTCCTCATTCTGAGTCTTAAATTCTCTACTCTTTCTAACTTTTGGCTGTTTTTAATATGTATTCTCATGTATCTTATTGTGTTTTTAAATGTTTCCTTGTTAGTATTTTGGCTTGTTTGCTTAAGTGCTATGCATGTAGCTGATACTTCTTTTTAATGTCTCTTAATACAAAGCTTCTTAGTTCTCTGTTCTGTTTATGTTGGGATATATCACGGAGGTAAATTTTCTTCTAAAGCAAACATCTTACTACTTAGAGTCATGAACTCCTTTTCTTTTCTAGGCCACCCCCATAGAAGGGGTTGCCAGGCCCTCAGGCTCATCACAACAACAAAGCCAGGATGTGGGGTCCCACAGAGACTCCATAGTGTGGCCTTATTTAATCTTGACTCAAGGTCAGAGAGTCCAAGCTTGTTTTGCCACAAGGCTGCAAAATAGGATGTTTGGGCCAAATGTGTGGTTACCAGGTGCTTTATACCTCAAGGCCTAATTACAGGATGTTCTGCTGTAAGGCGGGCTACTAGATGTTTTGAGAATTAAGGAAGTGTTTACACTTGTCTGTACTTTGTACCTTGAACTGTGCTGTCCTTGAGAGGGGGAGGTTTTTTGCCTCTCCCCTTGCTGGTGTATAAAAAGCCCATGAGGAATAAACTCAGGTCAACTGTGGTATTGACCAAGAACCCTCCCCATGCTATTCTGTGTCTCTGTCTTTTTCTTTTCCATCTCTATTTTTCATACCTATTATTTCTTAATTCTTATTCCTCCCTTCCAGGACTGTGCAATAGTCAGGTGGGACCCAGCACCAGTATATGGCCTTTTGATACCTGGATAAGCTCCAGGTATCAAAAACCCTTCCTCTGGTGCATGAGCTGCCTTTTTGGAGCCTACTACCCATGGTGGGACACCTTGCACAGCCTTGAGGCAGGGGGAGGGGACCAGCCTCTACTGAATGAATCAGGCTCTGCTGACTCCCCATGGGAGGCCAAACCTTCTTGTAGGAAGAAATGGGGGATGGGTTGGGGGGGGGGCGAGGCTGGAGGGACAAGAGGAAAGAAGAGGGAGATCTGTGACCGATATGTAAAATGAATTTTAAAAAATTTCTTAATTAAAAAAAAACAAAAAACCCTCCGGACAGCTACATGGTCCAGACCCTCAGCTGTTACCCCCAGGAGGAAACAGAGATCCTACTCATCCTCACTTTCTTGGCAGGTGGTGGGGGGTGGGGGTCAGATACTGGTGGAGGTAGGGGTGAGTTACAGTGGAGGCAGAGGTGAGGTATGGTACAGGTCAGGTGCCGTGCCGGTGGAGGTAGGACGGAGTGCTGATGGAGGTAAATTGTTCCTTCCTGGTAAGGATTCTGCACTAACCCACCCCCAGACCAGCACAGTGCATCCCTTCCCTGAATGCACTCACAATCATTTTCTTATGTTCCTCTGCTTCCCGACTCCTGTACTCCAGGGAAAGAGCCAGTTTGGAACCGAAATATTTAGCTTTACATGAGCTATTTTGAGTTCATTTCTTCTAGATATCACACTAATTTTTAAAACTCAGTTTTAAACTAGTGAGTTATTCCATTTATGTTTTAAAGTGCTATTTTAGTTGAACACATTCTCTGTATTTCTCTTTCCATTTCTGGAAATTTTCTTATCTTCAATAAGAAAAATGAAGAATTTTTCTCCATCAAGGGTGGCTGACATCGCTCAGTGGATGAAGGCACCTACTGCCAAGATTGACCTGAGGACAATCTCCAGGACCCACATGGTCCCACAGGGTGTGCATTGAACTTCATGGCATATGTGTGCAAGCACACACACACACACACACACACACACACACACTACATACACACCACACACACACACCATACACACATACATACATACACACCATACACCCCCCCACCATACACACACATGCACGCACATACACACAACACACACACACACACACCATACACACATACATACATACACACCATACACCCCCCCACCATACACACACATGCACGCACATACACACAACACACACATATATACTACATACACACCACAAACACACACCATACACACACACACACACACACACACACACACACACACACACACACACACAGCAGCTACAGGTGGAAGTTTACATCTGTGTGTGTGGCTAGAAGTTCTGTTACTTACTATAGAGTGTACAAGCTATAGCTGTTAGGGCTTGTGCAGTAGTACTAGGAGTCATAAGTAAAAATGTAGGCCTTTTACAATAGCTACCCACCTTTGACAACAGATGCCTACATGAACTCACCTCCCAAGTGGCACACAGATCTGATTTGTGGTATAACCATTGGCCATTTTCATCCCGAGGATACATTCCCTTTCCAGGCTGTAAAATACAAAACATTTGTTTATCTCTAAGAATTAAAAATGGGTAATTTAAGAAGTTGTCAGCATACCAACATATCGTGGCCCTGCAAATAAAGCTTACCAATTTATATATTTTTCTAATAAATGTTATATTTATATATAATATTGTGATATATAAAATATACATATATTTTCATTAAATTATATACCATATTACACATTATGATATCTTGTTAATAATATATGATATGTAATCATACAATCACAGAAGATGATATTTTATAATTATAAAAATCCCTTTGAGTGTCACAGCAGGCAGGGAGATGATACAGGTGAGGTAAGAATGAAACTCGGTTCAGCCTGACTTTGTTAGCCAGGGCTAAGCCAAACTTCTTGGAGTCTGACACCAGCTGGTTTATTTTAGCTATATTTAATCACAGAACAATTTTTCAGTCCCAAGTTGTAATGAACTTAAGAAATGTTTACATTGAAACTCTTTACAAAGTACATCTGACTTCTCCCTTAAGATGGATTCTGTTGACTCAGTAGCAATGCTCAATATTTAGTGGGGAAGGATGTGGAGTAAACAAAATATGAATTCTGGGGATAGAGAGTGAAGGCCAGCTCTGTGGATAGCAAAGGATCACCAGGTTGTAAACTACATCCTTTTCCAGCATTCCAGTAGGAAGACAGGTAAACATCTCCTTCCCTTGAAGCGATGGATGAGTCTGCATGTTGAACTTCTCCTGGATTCTCCAATGCTTATCTGTGTGTGCAAGGACCTCTTGCCCTTTACATGTAATTGGTATGACATAGTTAATACTCTCTCTTTTATAGGTGACAGTCTCTCTTTTGCGGTATTCTCCAGGTAGTCTCGTCTGTCCAATGTGTCCACTTGGCACATTACTGCCCTTGTCTTACCTGACATTTGTTTTGAGATGGAAGAATTTCCCAGTCTTTGACAAGAGCCATGTGTGCTATTGAGGAGAGAATGGTGGCTGAGACTGGGGACTTTCAGTGTCACTGTCTATCCTATCTGAAGTTCAAGGCAACCAAGTTCTTACTCAGAAACCCAAATCATGATGTAAGATCATGATGTAAGAATGAGGAGAAATTCTTCAGCTCAGTAAAGTATATTTCTCTGTACAAGACCACACCATCAACACAACAGCATGGAAGGAGGAAGGCTTCATAAGGCCCTGCCAGCAGATGAAGAGCTACAGGCAGGCAGAGGCTGCTGAAAGAGGGAGATGTTTTTTGTTTGTTTGTTTGTTTGCTTGTTTAGTGATAAGATCCCAATCCTAAGTGGTCATCTCAAAACTCATGCAAATAAGGGCAGTAATAATTGGATTAAGTAGGTTTCACACACACACACACACACACACACACACACACACACACACACACATGAATGTATGTAGATATGAATGAATATATATGTATATATATTGTCTGCACACACACACATATGAATGATGAGGTCACGGATTTGGGAACAGGTAGATTGGGGACATGGGAGGACTTAGGGGTAGAAATAATACAAATACAGTGTACTCATATAGGAAATCCTCTAAATAAAAAATTTTAAAACACTAAAAAAGAAAGAAAAAAGGAAAAGCTGGCTAGGACAGCTGTTAGGTCCTAGGCACAGCATGAGACTCCAGTCCCTACCAGTCCGCCAGTGGCTCTGTTCTTTTTTTTAATCTTATGACCTTTTGTTGCTGTTGTTTTGAGACAGGGTTTCTCTATGTAGTCCTGGCTGTCCTGGAACTCCCTCTGTAGATCAGGCTGGCCTTGAACTCAAAGATCTGCCTGTCTCTGCCTCCTGAGTGCTGGAATTAAAGGTGTGCACCACCACTGCCTGGCTTAATTAAATTTTTTTTTTTTTTTTTTTTTTTGGTTTTTCGAGACAGGGTTTCTCTGTGTGCCTTTCCTGGAACTCGCTTTGGAGACCAGGCTGGCCTCGAACTCACAGAGATCCGCCTGCCTCTGCCTCCCGAGTGCTGGGATTAAAGGTGTGCGCCACCACCGCCCGGCTTAATTACATTTTAATCAAAAATTTTGTGTGGGTATGTGTGTACCTATGCCATCGCATTTCTGTGAAGGTCAGAGGACAATGTGGGAATTGACTCTGCCCTTCTACCATGTGAGGCTAAGGCATCAAACTTGGGTCAGCAGGCCCGGATGCAGGGGCATGCACTTTCTCACCTTAGACTTCTCAGCCTCCATTACCCTGAGGCAGCAAACTTTTGTTCACCTTTAACCACTCAATCTCAGATATTGTCATAACCACACAAAACATTTGGGGAAGGGGATGAAGCAACTGTGATATACCATTTTATTATTCAGTTTATTCCTAAATGCTCCCTTCTAGCATGTCGCCTTTATGAGGCGTCCTTTGGTAAAAGCACCTTCCCCATGGTTGTGCCTGGAGACTCGGGAGAATTACCAGACAACAGTGGCTTTGTCGGCCATTTTAACAACCTTCTGTGGAGTCCTCTAAGAAAGACAAATGTATTCATTTGCTGTTAGGCTTTCAAGATGGCAAACCAAAACAAAGTTTTGCTAAAGCTGAATCCATCTGCTTTTGGATACAATGCAAGATGGCAGAAAGTCATAGCCGAGCCTTGTAGTGTTAGCGAAGTCGGCACCACCCAAGGCAGGAAGGTTAAGAAACAGAAACAGTGGGAAGTTAAATTGGTTCAGGATGTCACTAAATGGCAGTGGCTGACTCAGTTCTTCCCCCCTCTCCATTAGGAGTTCTCAGAAATAACTGCAGAATGTAGAGAGGCTGCAACAGCCTGAGATCAGGAGGAACATTCTCGAATAGCCTGGACCCTGATCCTGTGTAGTCCTTCTTAAAACAGGGCGTCCTACAAGGTTTTAGCTCAGCTTGCCATCTTGTCCCGGAGAATAAAAATCTGTTTTGAAGTTTCCCAGCTCCAGCTGTGCCTAGAACAGGCATATGCAAATCAGCCTACCATGAATGCTAGGCTGCTGCTGCCCCCTAAGGCCTATCTGTGAGCAATGAAATTGCTTCATTTAGTAAGAATGTCCTTTCCCTCCAGACGTGCACAAGTCACAGAAACTGTCGCTCACGGCACACTGGGTGTCTGTCACAGTACTGTGCCAGGCCAGTGTCTGGTGGGTCTTGAACTTGCTTTGCAGTTGGGTTGAGGAATATGATAGTTCTCTGAACGTAAGAACTTTGGCCACAATTACCCTGCTCAGCAATGGCGTACCAGGGAGCACATTATCCATCCTGCCTCCCCTTTTATGTTATTTTGAGCCAGAGGCCAAGATGGAGGCCACTTAGCTGAGGGATGAACTGATGGGAAGAACAAGGAGGTTGCTGCACTCCATCGTAGAAACACACGTGCAGGACTAGATACAGGAACACTGGCCCGGTGAGGTTTCTAGTTTTCATTGCTTGTGGAGCTGACCAAACGTGAATTTACTGAGAGCCTATTGAACTTAAGCTACGTTGTCTTGTCAAATCCTCATCTGACTAAAAGCCTATGATTACCACTGCTGCTGCAAGGTCACCAAGCCCATACCTCCATTCAGAAGGGAAACTTTCTCAAAGTCCCTCTCTGGCCTTGGCCTCAGAGGAGGGTCTTGGGGAAGCAGAACCCGGGCAGAGTGGTTGATTGTTTAAACGACTCCAGCCACTGTGATGCAATGTTTGTTCTTTGGGGCTGTGCCATGTGATTTCCTCAGTGGACAACTAACCGGTTCTGCTTCTTTGTTTTGAAAAGATTTCTTTTTGCTGGACATAGTGGCACACACCTTTTAATCCCAACACTTGGGGTGGATGGCAAGGCAGAGGCGGGCAGATCTCTGAATTCAAGGCCAGCCTGGTCTACAGAGCAGAGTTCCAGGACAGCCAGGGTTACACAGAGAAAGCTTCTCAAAAAGACAAAAAATTAAAAAAGAAGAAGAAAAGGGTTATTTTCTTTTTATTTGTGTGTATACATGCACTCATGAGTGGATGTGCCTGAGAAAGCCAGAAGAGGGTGCCAGGTGCCAGGTGCCAGGTGCCCTGCAGATGGAGTCACAGGCGGTTGTAAGCCACTGGACATAGGTGCTAGGAACCAAACTCAGGTCATGTACAAGAACAACAATCACTCTGAATCACTGACCTATAGCTCTAACTCCCAGTTCTGTTTCTTAATCTATTTCACAAGTAGAATTTAAATCATTTGCTGCTCTGCAACGGTGTATATCATGTGAGAACCAAAGTTACATTTTAAATTTTAATTACGATGCCTAAGAGATCCATGAAACAAAATGTCTCTGATCTGCAGCCCCTTGCCCAAGGACAGATAGTTCCTGAAATGCTGGAGGCTGTTGTTTATGGGAGATAACAAGCCACATGTTTTCACTCCCCTGAACAAGTTTGTTTGACCCAATTGCACTGGATGTGCTTGATCACATTGTGTGTGTGGGGGGGGGGGGGGCAGGGGGAGATTCACAGGCTGCAGGTACGTCAGGGTGTATGTTTGCTCCTGATTGAGTTCTGGGTTTTCCTTCTTAAGCTGCTGCAAACTGTGGTTCTGAGCCATTTCCCAGGAACCTGTGTATGGATCTGGCCAGAGCCCATCCACCTGGCCAGTATTTTATTAAAGCTTGCCTCAAATTTGGCTTTAAACTGTGGTAGGGGTCTTATTCTCAATTGGTAGGATTAACAATCTGGGTGTTAAACAGTGTGTTTATACATGGAGAAAGTTCCAGAAAGGGCTATACTTGAACTAGAAGAATAAATGACATCTTAATACTCTGCCTTGTTTTGGGCTTCACAAATCTGACCCCTCTTTTGTTTGTCTCCTGTTGGAGGGGCTGGGAGGTTGTAAGACGAATCTTAAAAGGTGTTATTAATTAAAAACAAAAAACAAAAAACCTGGAGCCAGATGTTGGGGTGGAAACTGAGAGATCAGAGAAGCAGAAAGAAGCAAGCCACATTCTTACCGCTAGGAAATCCTCAGCCCAAGAGAGAGACCTACTTCCTGTCTACTCACACCTATATCCTTTCTGTGCCCTGCCATCCCACTTCCTCTCTCCGCTCAGCTACATCACTTCCTCTTTCTGCCCAGTTCTATCACTTCCTGTCTTTCTGTACAGACCTCCAGACCTCTATGGTTAACTAGTGCTGGAAATTAAAGGCGTGTGCCACCACACCTGGCTCTGTTCCCAGTGTGGCCTTGAGCTCATAGAGATCCAGATGAATCTTTGCCTTCTGAATGCTAGGATTAAAGGCGTGTGCTACCACTGCCTGACCTCTATGTTTAATATAGTGCCTGACTTTTTCCTCTGATCTACAGGTAAGCTTTATTGGGATGCACAAATAAAATATCACCACAGGGAGACAAGAATTTTTTTTGTTGTTGTATATAATATTTTGCTCTGTGGAAGCTATTTTTATGGCCATGGGTTTATACGATGGATATGTCTAGATACTGGTTAAGTAAAATGTGGATCACAATGTTAGTTTGATGGAAAACTACTACAGTTGTTAAAACATGTATAATAGAAGCTTCACTTAGTTAAGTGGTATGGACCGCATGGTAACCATTGCTGCTTGAGAAAGTTCCAGCATTTCCACATTGCAGACCACAATTCTTCAGCACCTTACTACTTTAATTTTAATGATTCTCACTATGTGTTATGGGAGTTCTCTTATGCCTTTTCCTTTGGGAGATTTTGTGTGGGCTTTGAAGGATGAAAATGTATAAAACGGCAGCCTCTTTAAACAAAATAGGAACCATATAGCATGATGTCTTGGCACACAGGAGTCCCCATTGTGCCCTCCTGATTACACCAAGAACAAGAAAGTTACAGATTTACAAAGGACACACCTTGCCCCCAAGGATGAAATGCCCATAATCCAGATCCAGGGCCTGAGGCCATGGAGGACAAGAGTTCAGTTAATAAGTATAGAGAAATCAGAATGGTACAGTATAATGGGAAAAGAGTAAGACATCAGGACCTTCCCTTTTGGGAGCATGTGAGGGGAACAGGCCCAGGTAGTAAAACTAAGACACAAAGGGACACAATCAGGGAACAGCTCAGTGCAAATGCTGCATCGTGCCCCTTGAGGAATGAAAATTGCTCTTAAATTGTAGTGGAGTGTCTGGTCCCCAGAAGAAGTCCTTTTCCAAGGTCAGACATTTGGATAAGGGGCTCCTTTCCCTCGGGGGACTGGAGGAAAGTTCTTGCTTGCTAAAGGGAGTCCTCCTTATCTCTGACAGGAGGAACTTCCGGCCCTTCCTTTGCTCTAAGAGGGTGCCTGGTGGAGTTACTGAACCTTTGAGAACAATAGACATTTACATACTTGCTCACTTTTGTCTCAGCAAAAAAATACTGTAATGAAGTTAATGGCCACTTTGTCTCTGAGTCTGCTTTCAATCTTACCTGTGGCTAAACTATTGAGTATAAAAGGTAGAGCCTTTTTTCAATAAACGCAGCCATTCCATTCACCCCCAGATAGTGTCAGTCATGTGACATCTCCCCTAACCGCCCCCCCTCGCCGTGTGTCCCCCCACTCCCCCTGACTGACTCCATACCTCCCTTTTAGGACCTGAACCCAGCTGGAGCAGATCTCTGGCAGCTAAGAAACTTGGGCCCGAACCTGTTAGCATTGTTTGTTGGGGTTTTGTCAGCGAGACCAGTATCTATGGTAGCGAAGATTTTGTAATATTGTGTGCTACTAAAGAATGAGCAATAAGGAATAGAGCTCTAACTCTAGGTACCCGAGCTTACCTTAAAGGCCATGGGTATTTCAATGATGAAAAGGTCCACATAATCCAGCTGGAGGCCCTTTAGTGTCCTTTCCAGGGCTGGGCGGACCAACTCTGGGATGTGATCTGTAGCCCACAGCTGGAAAGAAAACCAAGGAGGCTAGTGAAATAGTATCTACTTCCTTCCACATTCTCACAGTAGATCCCTCACACACATGCCATCTGCTCCTTTCCTGTCACAGAAGCATGCTTATGCCTGAGCACAGGAAGAGTCGGGACAACACTAGGACGGTCCTCTTCATCAGTCTCACTGGGTGTCACACCCCAGGGCAATCCTGCCAATTCTTGCTAAGGCTTTACTCCAAGTCCAAAGTGTCAGATGGTGGATGGGGTAAGGCCAGGTTATCATGCCAATGCAGAAAACACAGAGAGGTAATCAGATAAATTAGTACATCTTCTGGTGGCATAAATCATGCTCCAAGGCTTTTTGGTGGGAGAGTGGGGGAGAAGATTGACTTTTTAAACCCTGTTTGTCCCCCAAGGAAATAAACTTGGAAAGTTAGAGTCCCCAGTTTTATTCTTGTCTTGAAAGCACAGAAAAACAAACAAAAAAACAAAAAAACAAAAAACAAGACATAATGGCGCACACCTGTAATATTAGCTATTTGGTAGGCTGTGGCAAAAGGGAGTGCTGTGGGATGTTCTGTATGGCAAATGTGTTGCTCTGACTGGTTAGTAAATAAAACACTGATTGGCCCGTGGCTAGGCAGGAAGTATAGGCGGGACTAACAGAGAGGAGAAAAGAAAGAACAGGAAGGCAGAAGGAG